CAATAGATAAGACCTGCAGCCTCCATGATGCCACATGGTTGGGGAGATAGGGCGTTCCATAATTAATACTTTTATTATCTTTTTTATGAATATTTCTAAATTTTAAAATTAAATAAAATTTGATGTATTTTCAAAGAAGTGTCTGAAGTTTAACTTCTGGCACAAGGCAAAACAGGAGAAATTAAAGTAATAAGATTGTGCTAATCTTTCAGTTGTGAAGAGTCTGGCTTGAAAATTAGCTCTCAAAATTCCAGACCTTTACCTAAACTGAAACGCTGACATCTGGCACCAGCAACTAGTCAGACATGGTATAATGTTTAGCAAGCTTGTCTCATTAGATCGATTAAGACTGAAAAGTGAGTTTGATCCTCACTGGGTGCCTCATACTTTTTACTTTGTGCCACAACTAAGCTATGCTTAGAAAATAACCGTCGAACTGTCCACTATTTGGGAACAATAATGAAGTCATAATCATAATGGAAAATGTGACACTGAAATCCAGACACATTGAAATGGTGAAAGATGCCTTCCAAAAGCTGAACAAAGTAATAAAAAACAGGAAAAATTTGTTAGAAACAAAGAAAAAAGTGTTGAATTGCTATGCAATATTAGTCTTCCTATATGACAGTGAATGTTGAACAATTTCTTCAGATGAAGAAAAGACTTGAGGCAACAGATGTGGGTCTACAGAAGGATAATAAGAACACCCTGGGCAAAGCATGTGAGTAACAAGGAAGTCTTAAGGAAAATGTAAACAGAAAGGACATTTGTACTTAATATCAGTATCAGAAAAACAATTGAAATTTCCGGTACACATAAGAAAACAGGGTCTGGAGAATTTGACACTCACGGAACCTATTGAAGGTTAGAGAGAAACATCAAATAACCCACCTAATGAGCTTGTGTAAATGGATGACAGAGCTAGTAAAAAGACAAACCTTGCTAAGAGATATAAAGGGTAAGAAGTTGTAGAGAGCTATGATCGTCTAGGTTCTGAATAGACATAGCATATAAAAAGGATTGTCATATTAAAAAAAAAAATCTTACCCATTACAATTTTAAAAAGTATGTTGATAGAAACTGATAATTACTTGACCCATATAGATAGCCATGTGCCAGAAAATCCTTTCTATGTAGTCATACAGGCATAGTTTCTTTCTTCTCACTTGTCTCCCTTAAAAAAAAAAAAGAAAAAGACATTTGAATTGAAAAATTAAAGTTTCTTCTACTAAAAAGCATTTTAGTGAGTTGTCATCATGAGTCACGCCACAATCCAGAGTGCTTCAGTTCCCCTTCTCTTCAGCATTTATAACAAGTGGCCCTTAACCTTGTCTCCCGACCCCCACGTCAGCAACAGGCACAGCACCTGCTGCTCCCTACCCCTTCTCATACATTAAGTACTTTATCCTTTTTTCTTTTTCCTATTAAGAACTGTTTTTTTTTTCTTCTTCCTCATAATAACTACAAATCTCAAAAAATATTCAAGTAATTTTTCTTTTTTTTCTTCAATTTTTTGCTTCTCTTTCTTCAACTTTATCCAGAATCTTCTTTCATCAGAATAATACACTCGTCCCCCCCCCCCCCAACTGATGGTGTTTGAAAAGTTTGCTAATTCTTGTTTTTCTTCTTTCTATCATTTCCCGTTACTTTTATTCTTTCTTTCTTTCTACCTATTGTTCCTTCTTTCTCCCTATCAAGCTTCTTTTTTTTTTTTTTTCTTGGTGGGGAGGGATCCCCCAACCCTAAATGACTGTTAAACGATGACATCACCTGTCTTTATTTTTATCTTTTCAAAACTTGTCATCCTCATCAATGCTTTTGGCTGGGCTGGGCAGGTAGAGGAAGTGAAACTTGATGGGTAAGGGATGAGGACGACTACTGTTTCTTAAAAGTTTCTTTACATTCTAATTCATTTTTAACCTTGATATGTTTGCTTATAATTTTTAGTGACAGCAGAGAGAAGCAAAGATTTTGTATTTTTTGTCCATTTATTGTATGGAGCAGTATTGAGAGGGGGTGCTTCCTATTTCCTCATTCTTTCAAATGATTTTCCAGTTTTGCTTTTTTATTTGTACTGTGTAATTTCTACCCCATGTTGTGTTGTCATCAAAAAAATTAAATATTTTCCTATCTCCAGATTCTTTCTTTAAATAACATACATGTCGATCCATTGGAATCCATGTTTGTTTTTTGTCATCTATACATTTTATCTCTGTGGAAATCTTAAAATTTGATTAATGATTTGAATTATTTAAAAGTTTTTGTACTTCTTTAGGGAAATTCTTATATTATTTAAAATGCAAAATTATTGGTTAGTCATAAAATTTTCAGGATAAATCAATTGTAGCAATCCAACTATTTGCTACATTTTAATGACTAAAGTGAATTAATGAATAAAGTATTTGAGACTAAGTTTGGCATTATGTCCTTATTCAAAACAAGAAGGAAATAAGAAAGGAACAATAAACAGAAGGAAAGGAAGAAAAAATGGAGGAATAAAAGTAAAGGAAAATGATAGAAAAAAAAAAGTTCAGTTGAATAAACAGTCTTGAAAATTCTTCAAAAATCTGCAACATTGCAATAAGCATAAATTTACCATTTTAACCCTTTTGTTCCAAGAAAATATCTTTCAGCATTGCCAGTTGTTAATTTCTGTAAATATCAGTTTGTTATATAACATGTGACATTTTTATCTTACTCTGATAAACCTTTTGATTCAAAACCTATCACATGAGTAATGTTTATTAGTTTCCATGAACTTGTTAGGGTTTTAAAAAAGTAGAAGAAAAAATTATTAGTGCAAGAGTTGGATTGAAAGGGTTAATTCTTTGAATCCTTTTTCTTAAATAAGTGGTAGAAACCAAAATTGTCTATAAAAGATTATGGTAAACCAATTCTGTTCAATCATTGTATAAACCAATTCTTTGGTATTCAGTTTAAACCATCTGATATTTCCAGTTTGTTTAGTTCTAGAACTGATGTCCTTTTTCACATGATGCAATCAAAAATATTAGCAAAATCTTTTGGTGCAATTGTTAGATTTGAAAGATCAGGGTTCAGGTAAAATTTAAATCTTAACTTTTATCACAGTCACATGTCCTGTAACCCATTAGGGTTGTAGAGGAACTGTGTGTACTGCAGCCATAGCAGTGGTGGTGTGTCTTGGGCAAGATAGCCTGACAGAGCTCAACCCTCTCCAGGCTGGTTCAAATTCAGTTTTCTTTCTGCTAAACTGGTTGAGAACCAAGACTATAGGGCCCAGTTAGTCTGCTATTTACCTATAGCTGGCAGTGGGGGAGGATGGATTCATACCAAGGGTATTTGCACATAACAAACTTGACTGGAATTAAAACTTGGCTCTCTAATTCTTAATTCTGAGCTGCTATTCATTACGCCACCTGCACATGCACTTTTAACTTTTATAGTAAAACGCCAAGTTTGAAATTGATTTCTCATGTTAAATACTTCAAAGAATTTTTTTCCTTCATAGCTAAAAAAAAAAAAAAAAAGCCTTTGCAGGTTTTATGAAATGAAGTGGCAGGGCTACATAATACTGAGGGGTGCCAAAAGGAGGATAAAACAGGATAACTGATGAAGATGAAAAGAGCTCATCTTCCAAAAAAATAAAAGTATTGTACCCACCATTAAAATACCCTTCAGAGGACCTGAATCTAAGAGTGCTGACCATAATTTGCCACACTTCTGACAAAACATTAAAAAAATTCTTTTACAATTTCAGTTAGTGGCTGTATTTTTCATCTCATCCCAAAGAGTGTTAAAAAATGATGGTCAGGAATTGACCCTGTTATTTCTCAGTCTTATTAATGGGATTGGAAGAATTAGCATGAAGACAAAGCTATCAAGAATGAAGTCCACATGGCCTTGTCATTTAAATTTTTAGACATGGCAAAATGTAACTGTTCAGCTGTCAGTGTCCATCTAGAGTTGAATAATTTTAATTAGCACTCTGCTGTTAGAAACACAAAAAAAAACGTATTGCATATTAAATAAGCCTATTATTAGCCTCTTCAAAAAAGAAATTCCCATTTGAGGACAGTGAAATAATTGAATTACAAAATATGTTTATTTCCAGTGTCTGATTCTAGCAATTAATTACCATCATGAGTCAGGAGGAACTTGTTGTTCTTGCTCACAAACAATGACTTGTTCTCTCTTTAATGAGATAAAAAAAATGGCTAATTGCTTAACAACATAACTGAACTTGTTTCATCCTTTACCTAAAAAGCATATGCTGACCTGGGTGACTGTGTTTGTCTTCAATATTTTCATGCTGAAGTTTAAACCCGCATTTAATTCTTGAAATGAAAATAAGGACACTGATGCCCAAAAGATATCCTGATTCATAAGGAGTTATACTTGGTTCTTACTTTCAAAATAATCCCATACAATTCCATAAAAAAAAAAAAATTTTTTTTTTTTTAAACGATATGAACTTTGCTATACAATGATTTTTTTTTTTTTTTTTTTCTGGCTTGCATTTTTATTTTGGTTGTTTTTATTTCAATGTTACAGCCATTGTACCCTCAAAACACCCCCAGATAGCTGTTGTACTTTCTGAAACTCGTAATCTTCTTCTGTGTCATTTGGCCCTTGGCTGGGAAGTATTTCTACAGACAACAAAAAATGTGACACAGAAATCTGAAGGTGCATAGGAATAGTGAAAGATGCCTTCCAGAAACTAAGCAAAGTATTAAAAAAAAGCATATCTCAATGATCATGTTTTTTTGGGTTTTTTTTTTCAATTTATGATTGACTTGGCAGAAGAATTCCTGCAGTAGACTGCCATTATGGCTATAGAACCCATTTTATTCTGCTAATAAACCCATAGCAGTGCAGTGGGGGGGTTGATTTATACCTTGCCCAAGAGTATTAGGAAGCAAGTGAATGTAACAAACTTTACTGGAAAATTAAAACTTTGAACTGGAATCTGATCACTCATTCAGAGCAGAGTTGCTATTCCTTACATCCCCCATCCCATGCTTACAACACCTGGTATCTCCAAATGGTCACCCATCTAGGTACTGACCAGGCTTGATGGTGCTTAACTTCGGTGATTGGATGAAAACCATTGTTTAAACGTGATAGGGCCATAAACATGTTTTATGGCAGGGCTTTTTGATCAAGGCAGGGAGAAATGGAACCTCAAATTGGCAGATTCAGACTGTTGGAATAAGTTTTTTTTTTTTTTTTTTTTTTACAAATTAAAATTCTGCTATGCACCTTTTGAATGAAGCTTAGAAGTAGGGAATGGCATTCAGAAATATGGTATTCAAACAATACAGGTGTAAATTGGCTCTGAGAATTTTGGTCTTCTGCTGGAGAGATTAAAAGCTCACATTTCTGGAAATAGATATTGGAAATTATTTATCTTTTTTTTATTATTTTGTCTCTCTCTCTCACACACACACACACACACACACACACACACACACACACACACACAACAAGTTTATAGCTTGATATGCAGCTCTTGGCTAACTTTTGATTTGAAATTTTCAGTATATAATGTTTTATCTATTTATCTGAATTAAGTGTATTGACAAGAAGATTATTTTGAAAAACAAGTATTTGCTGAGTAAAGTGAAATGTTTTTGCATCATTAGACTATAGATATTGATGTAATCACATATATCACTTGTGTGTATATATATATATATATATATATATATATATATATATATATACACACACAATTGTTGTGTTAGTTTATAAGTTTACATAACCATATCATAATGAAACACTGGTTCTTGTATGATCATGAAGTTAAGCAATGTTGAGCCTGCTTAAGCAGTGTTCATGTGTATCATCCAAATCCCACATAAATGAACTAGAATTATGGTACACTTACACACTTAAATTATATGCACAAACACTGCTTGACAAGACAAAATGCATGTAAATTTTGCTTAACCAATGAATGACAAACATAAAAATTAAAAATACCAGAATTTTTTCTTTCTTTTATTCCATATCTCATTCTCTGATGAAGCTTTAATAAAAGTGAAACATGTTAGATTTATAAACATTTACTATTTGGATTCTGATCCATATTTGATTAAGCCCCCACCCCTGTATTAGGCACCTGAAAGTAATAAAATAATATGGAAAATAGGTAAATGAAAAAAAACAATGTTTTATGACTAAATGAAAAAAACAATGTTTCATGAATATTTGATTAGAAGGAAAGTTCTCATCGTTTCTAAATAAATTTAATGTTGTTCAAACTGAAAGAACTTTGCTTTCAAGATGTAATAACAAGAATCACAAAAATGATGAATTCTTCATGCTTTTCTGGTCACACACACATACACACCTGTGTGTGATGTCAAATATTTTTGTAGATTGTTCTGAAAGGAGAGGCTTTTGCTTAAATTTGGAACAAAACATTGTCTGAATGTTAGTTGATAATATTTGTTTGGGGTCAGTAGTTGTTGCATAAACAGTTCTATTTAAACATGAAAGTTTTTTTTTATTTTTTATTTTGAATGAAAAGGGGGAAAATTATCAGTTGAATAGACAAAGGAAAAACAGTCTCATGGTGCCAATAAAAATTTAACAAAAACATTTAATAAATAAGGCTTAGATATGAATCGGTAGGATGAAAAATATCTTTTCAATATTTATTAATGACAAGTTGAGGTAAATAGCAAGTGAAAGACACATGTGCAGTAGAACAATGCAACAAAAAATTTTCTAGAATGATATGAATGTCCTTAAATTCAACATAAGGCATTCTGAATTAGTTACAAAAAATGGTTTGTTATAAAAATGTACAAGAAATAATGGCCTCTGAAAAGGATATAAAAATTGGAGAAATAGAATTTAATTTTAACTTCTTAGACACACACATACAGGTTACTATAGTCATTGAGCAAGGATTACCTCTTTGCTTTCTATATCTCTTTGTATTATCCATGCTTTGCTATAATTGGAAATACTCCTACGTTTCTAAACGTTTTTTTCTATTCATACTCAAGATTTTTTTTGAATTTTAATTGAGCTCATACTTCATGTAAGGTGCATAAAATTTTAATTTTACTGTCAGTAGTCATTAATTTTTATTTTCAAGTTTTGCATGTTTTGTTCAGAACACAGTAGAAATTACACAACTCATTTATTAGACATTTTAAGAAAAACATTTTGAATTTTCAACAATGCACTTTTCTAATACTTACCACCTTACATGCGCATTTTTAACCAGGCATATATATATATATATATATATATATATTCGACTCTCCCTGTCGAATTTGATGTATGAGGGTCAAGCAGATCAGTTCCTAGCGACAGCAGCACATGAGATTTGATTATAGTGGTAAAGGTTTCGTGCAGGACTATCAACACTTTTTGAAGGGCCGATACAGAGACCTGGTGCACTATGTGCCACAAGGTCCCCAAACGACTCTCCGCAGGTTTTGAATTCAGAGTTGTCTTTTTCCTAGACCAGTTGCCATCCAAGGCTATAGAATCCAGTCTGTCCTGCTATTTACCCATAGCTGGAGGGAGAAGAGGAGGATTCACACCTTTCCCAAGGGTATTAGCACGTAAGTGAATGTAATGGATTCGACCCGAATTTGAACTCAGCTCTCTGATTCCTTAATCCAAGCCGCTATCCATTACTCCACTGTGCCACACACACACACACATATATATATATATATAAATAAAATCTCAACACTATATTCAGTAGAGATGCTAATCTTTGACATGAGAAGTTTTTCTGACATTTTCTGATGTAAATAAGTTTAAGAGCTTTTGTAATCTGCTTATTGAGGATTTTCTAAATTATTTTTTAAATTATTTAATTAACCTGCCCATTAATACCTGATAAGAATGATTCTGTATCTAGATTGCATGCAGGCATGTCTGTCAATACTAGTTACATCTGGGTTTTTCCTGTTAGCACTCGGACAGCTTGACATGTCTAGATACAGGCCTCTCATCAACTGGTCAAGATTCAGGTCTTTGTAAGATGCCTCATACCAATAAAAGCAACAGGAAAACAAATAGTTGAAAGTTGAAAAGACATGATGTATTGTGAAGTTGGTTCCATGGACATTTTGTTCCTAATGTTGCTGTGGTTTCTGAGACAGTGTTATTTTTGTTACCTTTTGTCTCTTTCCTCTCTTTGCCTTTAAACTCCCTGCAGTTGCAGGCAGAGCAATCACTTAGGTGTTTCCCCCAACCTCAACACACTCTTGTCATACATTACAATAAAAAAATAGGAACACTTTTTCATTTCATAACTTATTCCTACCAGTATCCTCATCTTTGTTGTTTTGAACATTATTTTGCTGCTGCATTCTCTGGTCATATTCAAGCAAGTGTATGTTGGTTCTGGGGATCTTGGAAAATGATTCATAATTTTCTGGTGTTAATGATTCATTGTACATTTTATATTTCTTGTTCTAATCAAAGCTGTGAATGAAAATGTTTATCAGATCCTATATATACCTGAAGAAGGCAAAAAAGTGCATTGATCAAAACATAATGATTGAAAAAACAAAGATCCTCATCAGAATATCTGCTATGTAACTATGACATAAATCATAGTGAATTCTCTTGGTGATGTCGTTGACACATTATATTAAATGAACTCCTAAAATTGGCTCTGTAGAAAAATAAGGTACATTTAAATATATGTACGCTGACGTGCCAAAAGTAATTGGAAGGCAATATATAAAGTTAATAGTAAGATGGTGTCGTTTTATCTTGATGTTATAGAAATGCACAGACCTATATCAGTTACTGTCTAACATTTAGTGAGTCAGTGTGAACAATGGTTCGTCTGCTCATTGTAAATTATCATTTTGAATTGGGTATAATAGCATATGCCACATGAATGAGGCATTTAATTTCTAAAATTATAGGGAGATTTGATGTTCCCCTGATCTACAGTATTATATATAAACCAGGAATACCTGATGGAAGTAATATTGCCTACCATAAAACAGCACAGTGGCTAGCCATGGATCCTTAATGATCAAGACCAGAGGTACCTGGCTAGAATTGTTTACAGCAACTGATGAGTGATATTGGCTCAAGTCACATCCACATTCACTACAGGTGGTTTCTAGACATATATTTAGTAGGTCAATCCATGAAATATTGGAGCAGAAGACCGACCAGGGTGTCCCTGTAGACACTACTATACCAGACACTGCATCTCACCTGGCCTCAAGGACATTGAGAGACTGGTAATGTGACATGGTTCAATGAGTCATAGTTCCAGTTGTTTTAGGTCGATGGTATCAATTTACGGAAACCTTAAACAAAGCTTTTGGTGAATTGAAGCAGGTGTGGAATGCACCCAAGATAAACAAAAGCACCATCTTTATGAAACCTTGGTTATCCTCCTTCTATTATATGGTGGCGAAACCTGGAAAAAGCTTACTGACTTATTTCATAACAACTTAAGATTTGGTAACTCCCTTCCTATATGATTGAGATACTTTGAAAATGAATCTGAGCTTATTGACCTTTTCATAACAACTTAAGAGGAGTCCTTGAGATTAGATGGCAAGAACATGTGAATACAACTTCTGTAGAACACCTTAGTGAAAGTTTATTGGCCACACTTTAAGGCAAGACCCAAGCAATGACTGTAATGTGGCACTGACCTGCCTCTGCTCTCCATCCCTGCAGGAAAAAGGAGAAAACCAAGAACAACATGGCAAATGACTATGGAGAGGGAAACAATGGGCTGTCAATTCTGAGGTGATGCATGAGCGGCAGCTGTAGGCAGAGCAACTTGGAGATATTCTGCTATGAGGCACCAAGTAGATAGATTTTATCACTCCCAAGAGTTTACAGTTTTTAAAATCCAGTTCAATTTTATCTTTAAAAAAGAAATATCATCTAAAAGTTTTTAAATCTTGTCAAAATTTGAATAATATTTTGCCGTTATGGTTCTCCAAGCTATTTTCTCTTTGTATTTCATTAAAATTCCTTCACATGTTTCAAATTGTTTGTCTGGTATATATATCCAAATGATGCAACAGATTTATCTAAATAAAAAAATTCATGTCATTATAATTTGTATAAGATTTTTCTTTCATTTCCATTCAAAGATAGGCCCCATCCCAGTTGTC